GGGGGGGGGCAGTGAGCCTAGTTTTGTTTTTCCCTACAATGAGGCTTCAGAACCACTCAGGGCAGATCACAATTATAGCTGAAGCCATTCTCAGCAGGGTTGAACATAGTAAAGCGTTTTTTTTTTAAACCATCAGCGAACTAAGACGAAGTGCATGGGGTTTTATAGCAAAGGCGAATGGTCGTCGCCTAGTGCAGCAAAGCCTTGCATATTATATCACAATGTCTAGTTTGAGAATAGAGGTGGAGGCAGTCTCTGCTGTCTTCCACTGGCTTGAGACCCAGCTGTACACACATTTCGTGATTGTAACTGACTCACAGAGCATGTTGAAAAAGGTAGAGACAGACATGCTTCGTGCAGAGTGGCAAGCAGAGGTCACGGGTAGTTAGAATCCTTTGGATATTTTCTCCAAGTGTGCAGGCGTGTTGGGAAATGAGCAGGCAGATAGACTGGCTGGCTCTGCACCTCCTGGTGGTGAACTTATGTATCACAAGATATTGTGAGGGTCCTTATGAGACAAGATATTGGGAGGGCTCTCTGGGAGCGAGTGAACAGTGCGGAGGCGCAGAAAGATCATTACGGCCTAAGGAAATATGGTAATCTGGTAATTTTAATTTCAGCTTCATAGCAAACAGGTCACCCCATCTTTGCTCCGCTCCTGTGCCAACGAAAAACACACAGAATGTTTATCACAGTCCCTTGTGGAAAGACTGACAAACTGCTGTCTCAGCAAATCTAGCATACACTCGCATTAAAAGCATATGGTAGCCATCCGAAGTGCTAACACAAACAGTCTGACGTTAGAAATGCATCATTGATGGTAGCAGAAGTCATTAAGAGATCAACAGTTGCACATGCGATCAATTTTAATCAAATACGGCCTAAGGAGAATGGCGCTGCGAGGAGTTACCAGGGAATTTGGCCGACGCTCAACATTCATGGGAAGATTTCTGATACAACAGGAATTTGAACTCTTCACTTGCTGCTGAAGATGAGGACTGAGCACTTATGGGAGTGTCCCGAGTTCTGTGATGCCAATTTTTATTCAACATTTGATGTCACTGCACATTGCGCATTTTCATGCGTGCTCAGTCTTCCATGCAGTAGCCACTCGAAGGCACCTCTACGTATTATTCCCATGACAGGTTGATTATAATGTTTCCTATCTTGGTATCGAAGAGACATAAAAAAGAAGTCACATAACCCACTCAGGGCAGACCGCAATTATAACCGATGCCAACCAATCTCAGCAGGGTTGAACGTGATTGACTTTTTGTATTCTTTCTCCCCAAAACCTAACAATAACTACGGGACAGAAGGCTGTCGACAGTCATTCCGACTAACGCCACACATTCTATAGAATCTATACTAACAGAAGACACCTAAACTACTATACCGTATTGAGCCGTTTACACTTGCTATCTTTTGATTGGTCAGGTGGACATGCGTGGCGTTGTACCGGAAGCAGTTACATCAACATGGCGGACGCCGAACTGGTCGTCCGAAGCGACGTTAAATCAGCGATGTGGAATCCAGGGGCGTTGAAGAGTTTGCTGTCGTTTTTTATCCTTGCTTTAACCTGGCTTGCAGGTTTTAGTGCTCGTCTCTTTGCTGTGATTCGATTTGAGAGTATTATTCATGAATTTGATCCATGGTATGTTTTTTCTTTCTGTTCAAATTGATGTTTTTGCATCCTTGTGTGTCATATTTTGCGTTGTCTGTGACCCGGCCGGCGACAAGAACTAACTTACTGTAACGATTTCGTGCGCGTTGTATTGATTCAAAGTGTTGTGGTTATGCAAAAGTATGTGTGAATATTTTCTGCACACTTTGCAAATGTATGAATGGAAGTGAAATAAATTACATTTGCTAGTGGGAAAGCAGTGGAAAGCAATCAATAATATCAATGGGAAGGACTGTAAGTTACTGTAACTGTACACTGTACTAGTACTAGCAGTACTCTCTAATTAATACTAAAACTTTTTACACTGTCTCTAGTTTCTATTAATGAGTATCATAAACGTGCACCCCCCCCCCCCCAACCCCCACCTCCGTCTCTATTTGAGCGTGCCTTTCTCTACATTCTATGAGCGTGTTCACCTCTACTTGTGTCCCCTGTCTCTGCATGTTCTCCTCCCTCCTTCGGTCTTTAACTTATGTTATCCTGCCTCTGCTCAACTATGTATGAATGTGTCCTCTTGTATTTACTTGTGTCCCCTTGTATCCACCTTTGTGATTGTGTCCTGTTGTCTCTACTTGTGTCCCCTTGCCTCTACTTTCTGTAAAGGTGTCCCTGTGTCTCTACTTGTGCCCCCTGTCTATGCTTGTGTCCCCTGTCTCTACTTGTATTCTCTGTCTCTGCTTGTGTACCTCCTGTCTCTACATGTGTCCCTTGTCTCTATTTGTGTCTCCCTATCTCTACCCTGTCTTTGCTTGTATCTCCTTTTTCTATTTGTGTCCCCCTGTCTCCAGTTTCTATAATTATGTCTCTACTGGTGCACCACTGTCTCTGCTTTCTATAATTGTGTCCCCCTGTCTCCAGTTTCTATAATTATGTCTCTACTGGTGCACCACTGTCTCTGCTTTCTATAATTGTGTCCCCCTGTCTCCAGTTTCTATAATTATGTCTCTACTGGTGCACCACTGTCTCTGCTTTCTATAATTGTGTCCCCCTGTCTCTAGTTTCTATAATTATGTCTCTACTGGTGCACCACTGTCTCTGCTTTCTATAGTTGTGTCCCCCTGTCTCTAGTTTCTATAATTATGTCTCTACTGGTGCACCACTGTCTCTGCTTTCTATAATTGTGTCCCCCTGTCTCTAGTTTCTATAATTATGTCTCTACTGGTGCACCACTGTCTCTGCTTTCTATAATTGTGTCCTGTTGATTCTATTTGTGTCCCCCTGTCTCCAGTTTCTATAATTATGTCTCTACTGGTGCACCACTGTCTCTGCTTTCTATAATTGTGTCCTGTTTTTTCTATTTGTGTCCCCCTGTCTCCAGTTTCTATAATTATGTCTCTACTGGTGCACCACTGTCTCTGCTTTCTATAATTGTGTCCTGTTGTTTCTATTTGTGTCCCCCTGTCTCCAGTTTCTATAATTATGTCTCTACTGGTGCACCACTGTCTCTGCTTTCTATAATTGTGTCCTGTTTTTTCTATTTGTGTCCCCCTGTCTCCAGTTTCTATAATTATGTCTCTACTGGTGCACCACTGTCTCTGCTTTCTATAATTGTGTCCTCCTGTCTCTACTTCTGTGAATGTGTTCTCTTGTCTGTACTTGTCTCCCCCTGTTTCCACTTTCTGTGAATGTGTTCTCTTATCTCTGCTTGTATCCCCCTGTCTCTACTTTCTGTGAATGTGTATCCCTGTCTATGCTTGTGACCTCAGTTTCTGCTGGTCTCTACTTTGTCTCCCTGTCTCTACCTGTGTTTGTCTCTATTTCTGCTTGTGTCCCCTGTCTCTGTGTCCTGTAATTCTTTTTCTACTTGTGTCCCACTATCTCTGCTTTCTGTAATTGTGTCCACTATCTTTACTTTCTCTAATTGTGTTCCCCCTGTCTCTACTTTCTGTGAATGTATCCTCTTGTCTCTACTTGTGTCCCCTGGTTCTACTTTATTTTAATGTGTCATCCTGTCTCTGTTTGTGTTTCCTTGACTCTACTTGTGTCCCTGTCTGCTTCCCCCCCCCCCCTTCCTTCTTTTTATCTTTGCTTGTGTCCCCATTCTCTACTTGTGGCACAGATGTTAAAAGAAAAATACAAGTTACATTTTTGAAACATTTCTTTTTGCCTCAAATGTTAAAAAAAAAAAGGGGGGGGGGGGGTAAAAAGAGGCTCAGGGGAACTGTTTGAGCTATATTCAAATACATTTTATAAAAGCATCTTATAAAACCACACTGGAGTAAACATTGAAAACAAGAGGCAGATATTGATACACGTGGAAGGATAACATCAAGCGATGGACACAAAACTATGAGATAATGTACACCCAGGACAAAAGACAGAGTATGTTAAAGATATATCGCAACCAGTCCTCATTGTGGAGACAGCACCTAATTGATGGATTTAACAGGAAAACCCAGACTGCAGTTCAGAATGATCGATTTTTTACCTGCAATCATCTTCAGCCATGTTTGCGAGGTCTGATAAATTGTCCTATATTTGTACACATGTTGCCGACTCAAGACTGTTTAGTGTAAGAGCCAGTGTGAATTGGTGCTGAATAAGCTCTACCACACTCCAGTCGGTGGTAACAGGTGTTTTGAAATAACATCTGTTGCTTTTTGACTGCAACATAATTGTCTTGAGTTGTGTTTGTGTAGCGTAATATGATTTAGAATGATTAGTGAAATGTTTTTGTTTTATTTTGAGGGCACATACTGCAACACTTGAAACAAATCAAAGTACAGATCAGAACAGATAAATCCCCTGTGTGGGTTCAGGAGTCCTGATGTGGGTAAATCAAGAATAGACCAACTGCTTCCCCAGCAAACATGTTGCAGGAGTCAACTAATTTGGAGCTTCCTTCAAAGTGCATCTTTCCGAGTGGCAAGAAACAGCCAACTGTTCAAAATAAGCCAGTAAAACAGATGTACAGACAAATCTCAAGCCCTGGCAGAACGCCAGAGTCTAAACGGACAAACAGTCAGGACTTTCCATCAAGGCTTACCGCTTGGGAAGAAAGAAAAACAGAGAACATTTTGTTCGACACCCTTTCCTTTTAGGGACAGACCCTGTGTTGTCGCCAACCATGGATTGGCTCCCGTCTGAGGATTGGAAGGTCATGGGTTCAAGTCCTGATGGAGCTGGACTTTTTTCAAAAACACCTTGGCTGCCAGGTGGACCCAAGCCTTGAGTGGGTACCAGATGCGATCCTTGGAAGTAAAGGTGGCGGGCGCGATGCCGATTAGTCGATAAAATATATGTCTAGTCTTGCCTGAGGGCATGGAAAAGGCTCCATTTTATATTTTCTGTGGCAACGTATGGATGTAAGTCATAGACCATTTTGCATAAACAAAAGAAAAAAATCAATGCATTGTTAGGAGTTTACTGAAATCGAATGTGTTGGGTCAAAAGACACATATAAAGCAGCCTTGTTGTAACCACAACACATCATATCAAGCATCCTTGTAAGGGCAAATGCAGAAGAGCAGTTTGAGAATCCCTGTATCCTGGGAGCCAAGTACAGTTTTGAAAAGAAAATAAGACTTGATGCAGATTAGAATGCAAACCTTCGGGTCAGCTCCACCCTTGTTTTTTTTTTCTAAAAACTTTTCAGAGCTGAAACACTGATTACTTAAAGTAACAACTTTCTGTAATAGAAAAAGTTAAAGAATCATCTATGTGGTTTAGTTAGAAGTTTAAATAAACATTTTGGACCTCATTACCACACTGTACATTAACATTGTCTTTCTTCCCTGTGTGTGTTCCAAGCCCCCATTTGTAGGAGTTGGGGACAAAATACCTGCAGCCCCTTAACCATTATGTTGTGAAAGGCAACCAGTTAAGGATTTGCTAAAATCGGATGTGTCGGGCCGAAAGTGCAGATATCACAGCCTTTGCTGTAAACCACGCCACCCTGTTAAGGGTGTATGAAGTAGAAAAAGACAAGTCTTTCTCTTTCACTTATTTTATTGTCTTGAGAATTCAAACTCTTATTACTAAGACTGCTGGCCATAAATAACTACAATTCAACCCGCACACAACCCCCCCCGCCCCCTCCCCCCCCCCCCCCCCCCCCCCCCTCCCCCCCCCCCCCCCCCCCCCCCCCCCCCCCCCCCCCCCCCAGCCCCCACTCAATTTACCTTGACACTTGTCTGACATTATTTATATATACAAAATAAATTGCACATTGTAATGTCGGTAAAATCTATTCATGACCTGGGGCAGGCTGTTCTAAGATACTCATGTGCCACGGTTTAAATCCTGAGAACTCCTAAATGTTGTTATAGTGGGCAACATGACGGTAGAAGCATTATTGAATTATTGTCTGTCTGCCTCACATTTTCTATGCTTGAGTCTATATGTTCTTCTGTCTCTTTCTGTTTATCTGTCTGTTTTAATTATGTCTGACAGTTTCTTAATCTGTCTTTATCTGTCTGTTTTTCTTTTTCACTTTGTGGATGCTTGTATCTTGGATAATGTATGTCTGTCTCTCTCTTTCTCTCTGTTTCTCTATGTCTTTCTTTCTTTTCTCACTCGATTTCTTAGTAGACAGTATCAGCTGTCCCTCTTTCTTGCTCACTCTCTGTCCTGTATCTGTCCTTTTTTTTCCTCAGTAAGAGTGCCTTGTTCTTCTCTGACTCTTCCTTTGTTTATGTCTGTCGATATTTATTTTGCTACCTCTGTCCCTTTCCTGTCTTTCTTTGTCTGTGTCCTGCAATGGGCTCTCCTCTTCCTTTTCTCTCTGTCACTCTGTCTCTCTGTCTCTGCCTCTCTCTCTCTCTCTCTCTCTCTCTCTCTCTCTCTCTCTTCTCTCTCTCTCTCTCTCTCTCTCTCTCTCTCTCTCTCTCTCTCTCTCTCTCTCTCTCTCTCTCTCTCTCTCACTGCCCCCCCTCTTTCTCCTTCTCTCTCTGGTTTGTGAATGCAGTGACATTATCCTTACATTGTGTATTTAATGAGTTCTGTTGTATTCATCAATACTGCACAGCCTGCTCATTAAAGCAGTTGCACTTACATTACAGAGCTGATTTCTAGATTGTGACATTTTCATTCTCCCCATTCTGTTTTTTGTGTATCCCTTCTCCACAGTGGAAGTGGGCTGCACTGCATATGCTGCCCCCTCCCCCACCACACCCTTTTTTCTTCTTCTCAAATAATATTTGATGAGCCTTTCATCTCTTCCTTTGTTCTGTTGTATTAAAACCATGAAAAATTTGTGTGTGCGTGAAATCTCTTGCGGAAATTTAAGCTTTGCATGTTGAGGATTTCCCCATGTGGGTTCTAGGGCTCCGTTAAGGAGAACTGAGGGTAGCCCTGCTGCCCCCTACCAAGCATATTGTAGGAGGGGTCTGATAGGAGTGTTTCCTCTCAAAGTTTGAGTACATCTGCCGGAGAGACAAGGAACCAACAGTCTGCATCCAGATAAAGGACCCTTTTCACATCTTCTGGCATAGTGGGTCTGTATTTTATAGACCAAGTGGGTCATGTGGTCAGCAACACACCGGAAACCTTTACTTCCCAGGACTTTACCATGTACCATTTTAAAGCTGGGTAAACCGGGAAGGCAAGGTTATTTTTTTTTAAAAAGAGTCCGGCTCCGCCAGGACTAAACCCACGACCTTCCAATCCGCAGGCGAGTGACTAGCTGCTGCATCATGGCGACTGCATCCAGATAAGCCAGATCTGTAAAACGGATGTGCATGCAAAACTCAAGTTCTGGATCAAGATCAAAGACTAGAAGCGGATGAACCACCAGAACTTTCTGCTGGCATTTATAATCGGTGAACGATAAGAAGAGAAGAAGAACCTTCAAAGATTGTGAAGTACACTCACTTACCTCAAAGCCTGTAGTTCTCCTTTAGCCTCCTGGGTTTGTAGAAGATATTCCTGATATTGTTTACAAAAATACCCTCAACTTTAGCATGCAGTCCCTGGGAAAGCTAACCCGGGCAGCAAATGCCTGCAGAAGTCAGATCTGTCGGCCGAAAGGTAGAATATTACAGCTATGTTGTAAACGGGCACAGCACATTTACATTTTCAGATTGAACACACCTTTTTATGATTCTGTTATAAATAAATTACAGTTAGCTCTTCAGTTACTACTGTTTTTTCCTAGTGAGGTGGGTTATCTTCACAGCACTCCGGACACATCCATAAGATGTTCAGATTCCCCCTTCAGCATATATATCCACATCCTTTGGTTAATATTGCCAGTTCTATGCTGGTTGACAAGGCTTCTTGTACGTCCTGTGTGCCTCTCTCGCTTGGCTGAGTGGACAGTTCTGGTTGTTCATGCACTTGTGGAAATTAGTCTTGTTACAGAACTTGCCTTTTGTGTGCACATCCATCAGACTGTTAGTTCTTCGCCGCTCAGGCACATGCGTTTCTTCCATAGGGAAAAACCTTAATCGCTTTCTATGAACATGCTTGTCAGGGAGGCATTGGGTCTATTCCCTCCTCCTGAAAACAATTGGGCCCTTGTAACCCACAAATGGAGGATTTCTATCTAAAGCAATTGCTGAAATTGAACCTAAAAATGTCGAGCATTGTGAAGTGCACTCACTTATCTCAAAGCCTGTGTTTCTCCTCTTGCCGCTTGCGTCTGTGGAACAGATGGAAAGGTTGCGATATCCATAATACTGAGCCTAAGGGTTAACAACTTATGGCTTCTGGGTACTAAAACAAACAAACAAATGTCTTTGCTGTTGTGCTAGGCAATGACTGTAAGAGGGGAAAATAAGAAGGGTTCCCAGGTTGTAGTTTGTTGAGAACCACTGAGCAAGCTGTAAAGTGGCACAGTTTCTCTATTGATGATGTGTACTTTACCATGTCTGTTGATGATCAGGATTATTGGTAAACTTATCTAAATGTCTTTGATGTTATGCCAGGCAATGGCAGTAAGAGGGGAAAATAAGAGGGGTTCCCAGGTTTTAGTTTGTTGAGAACCACTGCGCAAGCGTAAAGTGACACAGTTTCTCTATTGATGGTGTGTACTTTACCATGTATGTTTAGATGATCAGGATTATTGGTAAACTTATTATCTAAATGTCTTTGATGTTGTGCCAGGCAATGGCAGTAAGAGGGGAAAATAAGAGGGGTTCCCAGGTTGTAGTTTGTTGAGAACCACTGCGCAAGCGTAAAGTGACACAGTTTCTCTATTGATGGTGTGTACTTTACCATGTCTGTTGAGATGATCAGAATTATTGGTAAACTTATCTAAATGTCTTTGATGTTGTGCCAGGCAATGACAGTAAGAGGGGAAAATAAGAGGGGTCCCAGGTCATGACTTGTTGAGAACCACTGCTGCAAGCCATAGAGTGGCACAGTTTCTTTATTGACGACGTGTACTTTACTGCACGTTGAAAGTGGGGATTATTGGTAAACTTATTATCTAAATGTCTTTGTTGTTGTGCTAGGAAATGACAGTAACAGCGTCCATTATTTGATCCATTCTAGGTTCAATTATCGAGCCACCCACTACATGGTAGAAAATGGGTTCTACAACTTCTTGAACTGGTTTGACGATCGAGCATGGTATCCCCTTGGGAGGATTGTGGGGGGCACGGTAAGTTCTATTAGTTTTTTTTCTCTTTTCACTGTAGTCATTAACTAAACCCATTAGTTTTTTCCTCTTTACTGTAGTCATTAACTAAACCCATATGTTATTGGAGCTGATAAAGCTTTATTTGTTTGTTGGTTTGCTTATTTAATGGATCAGCGTCATGGCACACAGGTTTAACCCATAAGGGCTCTGTTCTTTTTTCTAACTCAAGCCTGAGTCTGAAGAATCTCAGCACAGTGCATGAACTACGTTGCACCGGAGAGGATCCTGGAATACTTTTTGGGTAGATTTTTTACTCCCAATTTTGCCCGGGCAGCGCTGTTTGGCTACTCTTTTTCAGTTTTAAACTGCCAAGGTATTTTTGCATGCGCAACAATACACACGGGTGTCCGATCTCACTGCCCAAAGATCAGGGGAAATTACTAGAAATCCAAGTCCACGTAAAAAAAAATTCCAGCCTTTGCCAGGGATTGAGCCCAGAACTACTAGCGCTCGAGGCGGACACCATGCCTTGAGACCACGCAGCTCCCTTGTCTGGAGGTAAAGGGCCTGTTATATGGGTCTTTCTAGTCTCCCTGCGCTGCTCAGCTGCCATTTTTCTAGATGCCCCGCAAGTCACTTATAAGCCCTCGCAAGTCACTTATAAGCTCTCGCAAGTCACTTATAAGCCCTCGCAAGTCACTTATAAGCCCTCGCAAGTCACTTGTAAGCCCTCGCAAGTCACTTGTAAGCCCTCGCAAGTCACTTGTAAGCCCTCGCAAGTCACTGTAAGCCCTCGCAAGTCACTTATAAGCCCTCGCAAGTCACTTATAAGCCCTCGCAGAGAACAGTGTCTGGAGGTAAAGGGCCTGTTGTATGGGTCTTTCTAGCCTGCCTGTGCTGTTCAGCTGCCCTTTTTCTAGATGGCTAGTGAGTCACTGTGCCTCTTTGGATAGACATTCGCCATATTTTCTGGCCTTGTGCAGCAACCTCCCAAGTGTCACAGTTTATTCTGAAAGCTTTTAGTGATACCTTCACCTTGTTCTTGAAGCATATTTCCTGGCCACCATAAGAGCATCTTCCTTCTTGTATCTCACTGTACAAGATTTATTGGGGGGACCCTATGGTCTTACCACCTTATAAGTAAAAATGAAGTAAAGGGCCCTTTCTACATCAGGCATAAGATGCTAGACTCCTATTTTATGTATAGACGGTCTGCACTTGGTGGGTGATCTGATCACCATTCCACTGGCCACCTTTACTTCCGAGGACGTTTCCTGGTACACATTTTTGGCTGGGTCGATCTGGGGAGCAAGATCAGTTATGAAAAAATCTGCAGATTCACATACAAACCTTCCGGTCGACTAGTACGCATCTTGCCACTACGCTACGGCATCTGCCGATATACCCTATAAATTTCATTCCTTTCCCCTCCTTATTTTATTCAGATACCTTGTAAGATGTTTGGTATTTATTTGTCTCATTCTTTGCAGGTGTACCCGGGCCTGATGGTGACTTCAGGCGCCATACACTGGTTTCTCAATTTGCTGCACATCCCCATACACATCAGAGACATATGTGTGTTCTTGGCACCGGTGTTCAGGTAATATGTCATGTTAGTTTTGTTTCAAAGCTGCTGTGTTTAACATATTTTTGAGAATGTTGATCTTAGGGAATGGGTTAAACATTTTTGTTATCCTCATGACGTCATCGGTCAGCGTGTCTTTTACCAAATGTTGCTTTCTTCACAGCTAAAAGTTTCACTTTCTCTGGCTGATTCTCCAGCCCCGTGTGCTTTTATAGCAAAAGCATATTCAGTGTCCTGCATCTACCGTCGCAGAAGTCGTCCTCTGCCTCATTTTCCTGGAACGGCGCCTTCCATATAAGTTCTCTGCAGACCACCATGGCGCTTTTTAAAAAACATTCTTTTAATCCCATACGATCTCACAGTTGATGCCTAAGGAGTACGTGCCATAAGGAATAAAGTATGTGTTATGTATTTTTCACTTTATGTACATTAATTATATACATACACAAATTGCATTTTTGTGTTTTATGTTCAATTTTTGTAACTTATCTGAATGTTAATGTTGCAGAAATGTAAATTTGTCTTAATCGGAACAGAACTTGGTCGTAAGTTGGGCAGACCCTGTTACTAATTATGTCCTCTGTGTTTTGCAGTGGTATGACTTCAATGTCAGTGTACCTCTTCACCAAAGAGATCTGGAGTCCTGGAGCAGGCTTGTTTGCTGCCTGCTTCATTGCTATTGGTGAGTGCATCTGGTCTTGCAGAGTTCAGTTGTTGTCCCTATTTTCCTTTGAAGTCGGAGTGTATCTGCCTGAGAGGCAAAGAACCAACAGTCTGTCAACAAATGTTGAATTAAGAATCATGTGTGTGTTTTAGGGTCCCATTTTGAAGGAGAAAGGAATCAACCCACTGTCCTGAATAAGGATAGGGAAAACATAAAGTATTTGACAGTTTTACATAATCTTCTTCTTCTTGTTCACCGGCTGTGAATTCCGGCGGTAAGTCACGGTTGTTCGTCCAAAATGGACTTTTGGCTTTTACCTTGACCTGAGTTTTGCATGTACATCTGTTTTACTGGCTTATTTGTTTGCAGTACTCGTTCCCCGCCTCTCCGGCAGATGTACTCCGACTTCGGAGGAAAGTTTTACATAATCTTCTTTTGCCTTTCTAACCCCCACAATTGAGCTTAGGTCCTTAGCCCATTCAATCAAGTCGTTCTATTCTTTGCTGTCGCTTGCAGCTTTCCCCGTGTCCTCCCCATTTTTTAATCTTCACTCTAGAAGATATTAACAACAGAGATGAGATGTCTTAGGAGAGCTGCCGGTTTGACAAGAAGAGATAAAATCAAGAATAAAGAAATTAGATGACTAGGACTGAAACCAGTCGTAAAGAACAACAAATGAGATGGTTTGGCCCCCTGACAAGACTGCTCTGGTACTAACTGTTACAGAAAGCCACACTGAAGAAATATAATGAACACAGAGCAAGGCGAAGACTACACAAGAGATGGAGCGACATCGTCAAGAGCAACCTACCAGAAATAAACTCCATCTTGTAAATTGCATTAGGAAAAACACGCAAACGATCCTAACATCTCCCCCCAACACCTCGCTGAGGTAAATGGGGGAAGAGAAGAAGATCTTATTTCGATACAAGCCCCATAGCATGCATAACACTAAAGGTGAATAATAGCAGGAATCCTAGCACTAGAGCAGGCTGCCCAACATAATCTGGGCAGCGATGACTACCAGTTACTTTACTGGCATGGCCAGGTCATAATTATTTCTCAGGACAGGACATAACAAACTTAACAAGCATATGCACAGGCGAGAATTGGGAGTAAAGATCATCACAGACAAGCATGAGAAGCACACCGGACGCACACAAAGTTGTTAACCAACTGTTTGTCTGTCTGTCTGTCGATATTTGTTTGCAAGCACAGGCACCACTTTAATTCCATGCGGATGGACTAATGTCATCCCCACAACCAAACCCTGGTTACGCCCTATAGGCCAACCCCTCCCTCCTTAGACACTCAGTGTACGCTGTTGGCGTCAAACCCGTCCCTTTTTTTGCCCCTACCTGCGCGTTGGAGGTATTTAGGCTGACTGTCTTTTCATTGAGCAATTTTTTTTCGCCAGGGACACTAGATGAGTATCATTTATTCTATACATTAGAGTCCTATGTAGTCACTTCACAGTTAGAGCCTATTTGTGTATGTGTACTGTGTTGTCCTTTATGTGCTGATGAAGGCTAATCGCCGCAACGTCCTTTGTTTGTTTATTGTGATCGATTTTGTAAAGCTAACATAAACTAATTGTTGTTTCTTACCAACTTTTTCTCTTCCCTATAATTTTCTACTCCTTATAAAAACTTAACCAACATAGGACTGGCACTATTAACTGCATGGCGCTGATGAATATGTTGAGAAGGAATCTGAGCGCCTATGGATGTGTCCTGAGTGCTGTGAAGATAATCTCACACATAACCATGCAGAGGCTTAACCGTTGTGTCCATGTGGGCTGTGTGTGCATACTGCGGAAACATGTCCTGCAAGTCTGTGCCTTGTACAGCCAGTTAAGAAAGGAACATGGGCCTGATGAGTCAACTTCATGCTCGGAGTTGTATAGAACTAAACTAAGAAGCCAAAAAACAGTCAGTTATATCACAAAAACTTATCTGCCGATGTAAATCAGAGAGTGGTCACAAGGAGAAGAACAAAGGTGAATAATTAAGGATCTGTCTGAAATCACATGTGTGGGGCCAACAGGTGTAGATATCGCCGCAGGCACAACACAAGAGTGAATGCAGAAGTTGTAATGTACTAAACTGTTTAAAAGTTTGACAGATAGGAGACTGTATAGTCATGAATAAATCAGACTATGTATGGTATGGACAGATAGGCTGTAAAATATTAAAAGAAAATATTAGATGATGATTGGTGTTTTTCTGTCTTTCCCGCAGTTCCCGGTTACATCAGCAGGTCTGTAGCAGGAAGTTACGACAATGAGGGCATTGCTATTTTTGCCCTCATGTTCACATATTATCTCTGGGTAAGTTGCTGTTGCTGTTTAGTTGATTTTGCTGTTCTGAGCTGAAACATGGAGACTGAAATAATGTATAATATTCACTTCTGGGTTATGAGATTCCATTTTGGAGAAAGTAAGAATAAAACCATGTCGTAAAAATCTGGCTAATTCGGGTTATTTCCTTCAAAGTTCTAGAAAATCTGCCTGAGAGGCCAAGAACCAACAGTCTGCATGCAAATAAGCCAGATCTGTAAAACAAATGTTTAAGAAAAACTCTAATTCTAGAAGAAGACTGAAGCACAGAAGGGGACAAACAACTAGAACTTTCCGCCGGAGTTTACATCCGGTGAACACAGAAAAGAAAGAATTACTAATGAACTTAATATTCATTAATGAGTATCTGTTGCAGTTTAGTTTGTTTTTCTGTTCTGGGCTGAAATATGGAGGGCAATTAATATAATTACTAATAACCTACAAATGTTCATCAACTAGTGTTTGTTGATGATAGGTGGAATTAAATGGTAGAGCAGAATGGCATGTAGAGCTTTGGCGAAATTAATTAAATTGCAGTCAGTATTATAAGACTGGTTTGTTGTGACCATGTTATTGATTCCACTGGATTGTTGAGACCATGTTATTTATTCCACTGGTTTGTTGAGACCATGTTATTTATTCCACTGGTTTGTTGAGACCATGTTATTGATTCCACTGGTTTGTTTAGACCATGTTATTTATTCCACTGGTTTGTTGAGACCATGTTATTTATTCCACTGGTTTGTTGAGATATTGTTATTGATTCCACTGGTTTGTTGAGACCATGTTATTTATTCCACTGGATTGTTGAGACCATGTTATTTATTCCACTGGTTTGTTGAGACCATGTTATTTATTCCACTGGTTTGTTGAGACCATGTTATTTATTCCACTGGTTTGTTGAGATATTGTTATTGATTCCACTGGTTTGTTGAGACCATGTTATTTATTCCACTGGATTGTTGAGACCATGTTATTTATTCCACTGGTTTGTTGAGACCATGTTATTTATTCCACTGGTTTGTTGAGACCATGTTATTTATTCCACTGGTTTGTTTAGACCATGTTATTTATTCCACTGGTTTGTTGAGACCATGTTATTTATTCCAAAAGCAGCATTTTAGCTCTCCTCTGATAAAGTCTCCAATATGTTAACAACGCTGATGTAAATTTTTTTTTAATCGTTTCAGATCAAGGCAGTCAAGACTGGTCAAGTATTCTGGTCTGTTTGTGCAGCACTTTCTTATTTTTATATGGTACAGTAAATTATTTTGTTTGTTTCTGTTGGTTTTTTTTTTTCATTTTACTTTAGCAATTACCTTGTTTTGATGTTTTTGATAGTCTGGGGCTCATGACACTGAGGAGCAGTAAGTCAGTGATTATCTTCTCCTTTTGCACTTTATTATTTCCCAAATGAATCATAGGTCTTGAACAACTTTTACTTCTTGATGCTTTGCTGTTATCACAGTGTGAGTTCTGAGGCCCCATGCATTGGGTAGAGGGAAGGGGCAGGTTGGAGAAGACTGATCTAAACACTGCACCTCTATAGACCACCAACTTCAAGATATCCTGCTGGCTCAGTGTGGGCTGATGTTGACCATCATCCACAGTGCATGACATGGACATGTGGCTGGAGTTTTTCATGAGGTTCCATACAACCAGACAGAGCCTTAAGGTGACCCAAGGTGATGTCGTGGGTGTCCCATCCTTATGTTTATGACTGAAAATCATTGCACCACCAGTACCATTCTGAAACACTCAGCTTGTGTCTGGGTTCGAACGAGGGAAGGACAGTCCTGCAGTAATCCCAGTCGGATTGAATGCCAACTCTCAGTACAAACTTAAATGCTGTGTTCTACTGTTTTCGTAAATTGTTGCTGTGCTTGTTATTCGACCTATGCTTCATTAATATAAATTTATGTAACCTATGGTGCCATTTCAATTGTTTGAAATGAATTCTGTCCGTATTCTAAAGTTATGGATTTCAAGCTGTACGATAGACATGGCCTATAAATAATATGATTAACGGTATATACAATCTGATTGTTATTGAATGTATGTATTCCTAATTTGTCTGTTACTGAATGCATGCATTCCTAATTTGTCTGAAGGTTTCTGCTTGGGGAGGCTATGTGTTCATTATCAACCTGATACCTTTGCATGTGTTTGCATTGCTGATCATGGGAAGGTACTCCCAGCGTATTTACACAGGTAAGTTTTGGCATTTGATTTTGTGTATTTGTGTGGTATTGTTTGATTTTTGTATGTGCTTATGAAGGCTCTATAGCCACAAGGTTCACGTTTTCTTTGTGTTTGTTTTACTGTGAAGCTTGCTGATATACTTTTCATTTGGTTTTATATATTTTCTTGACATTTTAAAGGTACCCTGTTTTTTTCCCCCTTGATTTTCATATAAATAAAAGCCATTTCGAGATAACTAAAAACAACATTGAATGTTTGGGAATTGAAATTTTTGCATGGCGATTATAAGCATATCCTGGAAGAGAAGAAGAAAAATACAGACCATCTTGAGGATCAAACCATCAAGCAGTGGTCTGCAAACTTTTTCAACTAGTGCCCCCCTTGAGTATATAACAAGACCCTGCCTCCTCCTCATTTTGTCTGCTACTGGAATGCCTCACGGCATCAGGGCAGAAAGAACTCTCTGGAACTGGCCCTTCTGTTTGCTTTTTATAAAGTTCTTTTCAGTGTCTGAAATTTCTGCGGTCCATCTTCTGTGTGGTTGACATCTGGCTCTTTTTACCGCTGTATCTGTATGACAATGCTCTGTGTGGTGCCCTGCCTGATGGCAGTTGTGTTTCATAGCCAAACCATTTGATTTATTGTCTACCTAAGAAGTTCAGTATTGGTTCTGTGCTGATCTCCTCCTGATGTCATCATTATAAATATATATTTCCTCGTTACACCTAACGTAACAAGAGAACATGTCATTTCTGTTGTGACTATTTTCCTTCTGTCTTCTGAAGACAGTGTCCGTGTTTGACATTGATCACAAAGCATTGGTTAAAAAAAAATGGTGTTGAACTGTGTTCTTTTGGTGTTCATATTCACATGCTTGGATTTCAAGATTGGTGCCATTTGGCAAAAAATTTAATTAGCTTTGTTGCATTTTTTTTTTTTAGATTTCTTTATTAATTCTTCCTCGCCCCCAACATAACAAAATGTTATCAAAAAAGAGGAATGTGTTCTTAATCTAGAATTAAGTGCAAGTTTTATATTAGTTAGATTGTTAAGAGTAGTAAAAAGTGCTTATGAAAACAGAAATGTCGTTGGAGTTTTGTTTCACAAATAGTGCTAAAAATATTTTATTTTTGATTGAACTGAACAGAATAATATACAAGTGCACTCTTTTCACAATTGCTTGACGACCCAGCTTGGAACATCTACATGTCCCCTGGGTATTGGGGTAGGGATTTTAAGACCACTGCAATAGAAGATGACTGGCTCATTAGACGCTGCCAACATTGTTAATGCCCTTAGAGAGATAACGATCAGAGGACTTTTGGGAGAGCATGTCCACATCACTGCTAAGAATGCAAGGATTGGGAGTAAAGTTGGGCACAGCCAGGCAAGAGAGGCACACCGGACCTACGAGAAGTCTTGTTAAAACCAGCATGGGCTGGTTAACCGTGGGACAGTAACTCTTATGTTGAAGGGGCGAATCTGAGCTCTGTTGCTATGTCCAGAGTGCTGTGAAGTTGATCCAACTAATATTTCAGTTTCTGTGCATTTTCTGTAAGTCCCAACTGCTCCCAACGCTATCTTGATATATGCTAATAAATTGGGTTTATCTCCACAGCATACACATGTTTTTACATAGTGGGGCTTATTCTGTCCATGCAAATTCCATTTGTGGGTTTCCAGCCTATACGTACCAGTGAACATATGGCTGCAGCAGGTATTATAGTTTGTTATTGTGGCTTTGTTCATTAGTTCAGTATCTAAATTGTAGCACTGCAGGTAGACATATACATGGTCTGTCTCTCATTAGGTTTTTTCTTTCTAGAAATATAGCTGCTGGCACTCCCTACAAAGTACGTGAAAAGGTGACAGTACTCACTACAAAGTGACTGTTACTGTAGTGCCAAAAAAGGTGCAGGTACTGTGTACTGTTGCATACCACTTGGAGAGAAGCCCTTGATGTAACAGGTGGATGCTGATTTCTCCGCTAACCCTAGTTGTGACACTCTGGATTTGTTTTATTGCATTCCATACCTTATATGCACTTTAATTCAAACTCCACATTCCTTGGATGTTTTTTTTTATAGGTATAATAGTAAATCTGAGTAAAAATTATGAAATTGGAAATGTTGATACAAGGAGCTGCAGAAGTGCAGTAGTTGTCTGCAGGCCAGAATCTTGGATTCAAATCCACATTGCCCCATTCCTTGTGTAATTGACCTTGACTTCCAGATAATCCAATCTAAAAAAGGTACAAATTCCTCAAAGTAAAGGAATGCAGTCTGGTCTGACTGTAGCTGACTGCATGACATATTTAGCACATGTTGGTATGGACAATTATTTGTCTATCGCTGTATGTCTGATGTTGCGGAGCGACTGGCTGGACCGCAAAGAATGCTGGACTCTGATTCAGGAGACCCAAGTTGAATCCTCGTAAGGTTGAGAATATTTTTTTTTTTCTGTCTGGGGTAAAAATAAAATCCCAACCTGCACGGTCCGTGGCGACAGCACTAGCCATGCGGCCTCAAATCCCCAGGCTTAAAGACCCCCTTGCCTATACCACATAAGTGTTAAGCGTGGGCAGTAATGGCAGTATGCCTGATGCACTAGTGGTATCTGTAGGGTTATTTACATTATTTTAAAACTGATATACAGTAAAACTTATAATAGAATAGTTTAACTCTGCAAATGTTAAAAATGGGTTATGAACCTGTGGGAATTCCTGAAAGAATATAGCCTTTATGCCCAGCTACAGAGTTGAGTGAATTATGCGACACTGTGAGCTGTGGATTTCAGTTGGCATGTTCTTCGACTGTGACTATGTAGGTGTTGTGAACTGTAGATTCAGAAAATTGAGAGTGGCCTGTTGCCTTATGTGATTAAATTTGAAACTGCTGCTTCTATCCATGATGAACTGAATTTCTTATGTCGGACTGTTTGCTTTAGCACTTCTTCTTCTTCTTCTTTCGTTCGCATGAAATAAATTGTCTATATCTGCAAAGCCGTCTCTTGTATGAATTTCACTGTCTTTTGTAATTCACTGAGCGGTCCGTAAAGTTTGACTTCCACAAGTGTCTCTTTTGGCCAAATGTTTTGCCTGAAAGCGTTGAATATGGGACAGTCTTGAAGGATGTGATCTGTTGTTTCAGGTGCCAGTCCACAAGTACACATGGCCGATTGGCCAATCTTAAATTTGTTGTACATGTGGGAGCGAAGTCTATTGTGCCCTGTTCTAAGGCGAAGGATAATAACTTGCTCTGGTCTGTCCATAATATGGTAATCATCTTGTGCCAGTTTCGGTGGCATTCTGATTGATTTGATCATTCTCTTCTTCTGTTGATAAGAGACTGGTATGTCAGGTTGTTCTTCAGTTGCACCTTCCTTAGCTAGTTTATCAGCTTTTTCGTTTCCGGGAACTCCACAGTGGGAAGGTATCCACTGCATTACTAATTTACAGCGGTTGCCTAGTTCGGATAATAGTGTCCGTATGCTTGGTAATTTTCCAGACTGGAGTGACTGAAGTACTGCTTTTTTGCATCTGTCAGGAATACCACTGGTTGTGAAAAATACCCTGTATTTAGTAGTTTCTCTACCGCTATCTTGATGGCTTGAACTTCTGCATCATAGTTGTGACAGTGCTTTCCCGTTGGTAATTTGGCTGTATCCCTGGTATTATTAGGATACTCAATGTACACTCCCGCACCTCCGTTTCTGACTGCGCTTTCTGCTGACCCATCTGTGTAAACACGGACCCAAAGGTTCTGCGGGTATTCATCATCAAGTAAACTGAGGGTGGCTGTTTTGCGCTGCACACTGTTTTGTTCTTCCTTGTCAAATACCCCTTTCACTTCAGTCTTGATGTGTATTGGAAACTTATACTCCTCTCTCCAGGGGGTCCGTTCTGGGACAGCATTTAAGGATCTATCAGTTGCAGGTAAATCAGTGGTTTGTCTGCCGAGCCGTTTGGCCTGGTGGATAAAACTACTTCTCTTTAGTCGTCCCAAAGCTAAATTTTTGAATCTTTCATTCATAGGGTGACAGGGCATACTAAGAAACTTTTCTGCTTGTAAAAGCATCTTGGTGTCTCTGCGTTCACTTAGTGCTTGGGTCATCCCCATTTTCTCCATCACAGCTATAGGTGTTGATTTCATACTGCCTGTGGTAACTCTGAGTGCTTGATTTTGCACTTTGTCTAATTCTTGCAATGTGGTTTTTTATGCCGAACTCCATGCTGTTGATCCGTATTCAAGATGTGGTCGAACACTTTGTTGGTAAACTTTTCTAAGTATTTTCCGGCTAGCACCCCATGTGGTTCCACTTAGTTTTCTCAGAATGGCTACCCTCCTTCTGGCTTTGGTTGCTGCCTTGTTGATGTGTTTTCTCCATGTTAATCTATCATCAAACGTTACGCCGAGGTATGTGGGCTCCTTATCCTCTCTCAGGGGTACTCCATTTATGTGCATGGCGCCTGATTTTTGTTTAGGAGAAAGGGTAAAGAGAGTGGTGCTGCATTTGCCTATGTTGATGCTGACACACCATTTGTCGGCCCATTTAGCCATTGCATCTATGGCTCTTTGTAGCAGTCTGGTGGCCACTGTCGCATTTTCATTTGTACACCAGAGTACCAAGTCATCAGCATACATTGCAGCTTTAATTCCATGGGGTAGTTCAGAAAGCAGGTCGTTGATATAGACTAGGAAGAGTGTGGGGGACAGGACACCTCCTTGTGGGACGCCATGGCGCAGCAAAACTTTCTTGCTCTTAAGTCCATCTATCTGTACTCGGGATCTTCTGTTATACAAGTATGCTTTGACCCATTTGTACATACTCCCATTCACCCTGCAGTCTCTCAGTTTCTTCAGTAGGCCTTCTTTCCAGACCTTGTCAAAGGCTTTCTTCAGATCTATCCATGCCGTTAGCACTAGCTTCTTTTCCTGGAAGGCATCCTCAATTTCTTGTGAAAGGTAAGTTGTCTGGTCTTCTGTGGAGTAGCACTGTCTAAATCCTGCCTGCTGCGGCGTGAAAATGTTTTCACTTTCTTTAGCACTTCTGATGGCTGCTTCACGCTTTTAATGTGTATGCTAGTGGATGTGCTGAGACTGCAGTCTATGTCAATTTTTCCACAAAAGATATTTGTTGATGTAAATTCTGTGTGTTTTTCTTTTGCCCAGGAGCAGAGCAACTATGGCGTGACCCATTTGCTGTGAAACTGAAAGTAAGATTACCAACTTAGATAGGATCGACATTTTCTTTAAAAGTCAGAGTCCATCTGTCTGAGAGGCATGGAGCCAACAGTCTGCACACAAATAAGTCAGATCTGCAAAAACAGATTTGCACACAAGACTAAAGTTTAGAAGTAGACGAAAAACAAAAACCTTCTGCCAGAGTTTCTTCCATTTACCTGAAGAAGAAGAAGAAACTATATATAGTAAAAACAATGCATTTCTGTTTACACTATGTGTCTGTACAGCTGTATCAAACTAAGATAATATGAATTTCCACAGGTGTGTTTGCACTGTTGAACGCTTACGCTTTTCTCAAGTATATACAGAATTTCTTGACAAAGGCAGAGTTTAGATATTTCTTCTTTGCTGCTGTAACTGCTGCTGCAGCCGTTGTCTTTGTTGCTGTGGTTGGACTGACATGGGCAGGTTAGTATTTTAATTTTCGAATATTGTTTTGTTTTCTGAAGAGCGGCTGGCTGAACGGTTAGAATGCTGGGCCCTCAAGCGGAAGACCCGGGTTCAAATCCTCGGTAAGGCTGGCGATTTTTTCTGCCAGGGGCAAAATAAAATCCTCACCTGCACAGTCATGGCGATAGCACAAGCCATGTGGCTGTAAATCATCAGGCTTAAAGACCCCCCTGCCTACACTGCAAAAGTGGTAAAATAAGGCAGTAGTTGGCCGTTTGCCAGTTGGCAATTTTATATCGGTGTGCTTGTTTTTCCCTTCTTTTCTGAGTTTATTGTACTAGTTGTGTGCAGTTGTAATTGGGTATGAATTTTTTGTTTTTGCAGTCCATTCCTTGTTAATTATGTCTGTCTTAGTCATTTATCTTGTATACTGCCAGTCATTTCATATAGGTGTTTCTTTCTGCCATGATATTAAATTGACACTCCTTTTCTTTGTTGTTCTTTTCCTTTAACTTTCCTGTTACATTGTACTTCAGTTTTTTACTTCTTATGTTTATTCTTGTTGTACAAAGATGATTCATTCTACATGGTTTTATCATCATTATTAACTCCTTTGCTGCGGTGACCAAAAAACAAAAACAAAAACAACACGACTGACACATAATTAGGGAATTCCTGAAAATAAAATTCTTTTGAAAAACGCCAATTTTTCAAAGATGACAGTTTTGAAACAGTTCCATTAATCGACCAAAAGAATATTAAATTGTATACACAGTACAGGGTGTCATCAATAAACATGAATGCAGCAGAGAATTAATCGGGTCATATCTCTGTGAGTCTTAAATTATTACGGGGACAAAATTTTGTTTTCAAACCCTTTAAACCCATGTTCTGGTCGGAGGTTAAGACTGTGACCAACAGGATAATTATGTCATAATTTCAATGAATAAAACCTTTTTTTTTCCCTCAGAACCCCTCTGAATATTTTTTTAGCAGCTATTTGTTTGTGGTCCTCCTAAAAATGTGTGCAGATGTAAGTGGTAACACTACTGCTAGCTAGATATTTCATCAGCTGGTCACTGTAAGCAAGTCAGTGAAGTGATTCTCGCTTGGGATTGGATCCAACTGGAAAAATGAGTCTTGTGACTTGTCAGGACAAAAGAGTCTCTATGGCGAAGTGGTCAAGTTGTTTGCCTCATGCTGTGAAGACCATGGGTTCATTTCCTGGCTGCGTCGTTCTGTGCAATTTTTAACAGAGATATCTGGATTGTGGCCCGAGGTACAGGGTTTGTGCTTTTTGCGACACTGTCATTGTGCTGAGAAAGATGAAGTCGTGTGGGATAAAACCTGGTACTATTTTTTTTTTCAATTGATAAATAAAACCTTTTTATTTTTAAATTAATTTTAATATTTATGTTCATCTGTAGGTTTCATTGCCCCGTGGAGTGGCCGATTCTACTCACTGTGGGATACAGGCTACGCCAAGATTCACATCCCAATCATTGCCTCAGTGTCGGAGCATCAGCCCACAACCTGGGTGTCGTTTTTCTTCGACCTTCACATTCTGGTTTGTGCCTTCCCAGTCGGAGCGTGGTACTGCATCAAACAAATAAACGATGAGCGTGTCTTTGGTGAGTATGTTTTTCTTGTTTTTGTGAGCAGTTAGGTGGATGGCTCATCAGGTAGTGAGTTTGATTTGTTTTGTGTCATGTTATGGATTGAATTGGAAACAAGGGAGATGTTTTATGTTAGCTATTTTATATATGGTTCTTAGTTGTTCTTTGATTCTTTGTCAACATGCGCAAAGTTCTGAATCCCCAGTGTTGGGTGTCTTGTATATGGTGGCTGCGGAGTCGGTTGTGTCCAGTATGCAGTCTAAATAAAATTCAAACCTGATGCTTGGATTTCTCCTGAGGATTAATAAAGGCCTACTTCCATGATGTAGCGGCTAGATGCTTGCCTGCGGATCGGAAAATCGGGGTCCTGTTGGAGCCAGACTTTAAAAAAAGAAGATCTTGGCTGTCAGGTCATCAAAGCCTTGAGTGGGTACCAGGTAGAGTCCTGCGAAGTAAAGGCGGCCGGTGTGATGCAGACAACATCACCCACTCAGTGCTGATTGGTCTATAATATATATATATATATATATCTGAAGGCGTTGAAAGGGGTCCTTTTCTTGTATACATGTATCAAGGTGATAAAATGAACAAACTTTATTTTCAAAGGGTTGAGAATTGTCTAACATTCTATTTACTTTGCCTTTTCTCTCATATATTTTTGTTCATTCAAATGTCTTATTAGGTTCCTCTTGTACAAGGGCAACAATAATATGTGTATAGTAAACACGTTGGAAATATGTAGAAATAAATTTCATTGACTGTTTACTGCGGTGGGGCAGTAGCTAGACGCGTTCCTACCAACCAGAAGGTCTTAAATGGAGATCCACATCGGGCACATTCTTTAAAATTAATGACATTTTCCCTCAGGTTGACAGAGTCCAAAATGGATACTAGGAAAAGTCCTATGAAGTAAAGGTGGCTGGTGTGATGTTGACCATATCACCCATGGAAGTGCTGGTCGGTCTGTAATAAGACAGTTGTAGCACCATATGCCTGGTGCACCAGTGGCATGAAGAGGTTCCAGTTATGGTTACTTTATGGTCAATTGGGAGCCGCCATGGTGAGGTGGCTAGTTGCTCTCTTGCAGATCAGAAGGTTGTGGGTTCGAGCCCGAATAGAACGAGACTTTTTTGTTATGACCTTGATTCCCAGGTAAACCCAGCCTTTCAGTGGGTACCAAGTGAAGTCATAGGAAGTAAAGGTGGCTGGCAGGGTTTTGGCCACGTCCCCCACTGAATGCCGATTGGTTGATTAAATATACTTTTAGCGCGATATGCCCACTACACCTACAGCCGTGGAATAGGGTCGTTTACTTTATTTTACGTTTATTGTTAGGTTTAGAAATTTACCCTGAAACCAGGATATTTGAATAGTAGGATTATATCATTCTTCTTCTGCCTTTCTAACCCCCCAATAGGCTCTCAACCAACTCACGCCAAGTCGGTCTGTCCTTCGCTATTGCATGGAGCTCTCTCCATGTTCTCCTCATCTTTCTAACTGCATTCTTCAGCTCTGTTCTCCATGTGTTTTTTGGTCTTTCTTTATTCCTGTGCCCCTGTGGGTTCCAATGCAAAGACATTCTAGTTATGCTATTCTTCAGTTTTCTCTTCTATCCTCTATTCTGTGCAGGCACCAGTTAATGAATGTCTGTAATTTATTAGCAACTGTCTTAGGTGTTCTCCATGTTTCCGTTCCATACTGAATTGACATTAGATTTGAAAATGTCAAGTTTTTTTTTAAGATTATTTACTGCTGTCCCATAATTTGTACTCAGGTAGCATTGAAACAGCGTGTGATTGTATGTATGTTTTTGGGTGGTATCTGTGATTTGCTGTGGAAGATTGCTCCACAATTAAGATGTGAAGAGTGCTAAGCTTGTTTTGTGTAAATCTGTCCTAGGCTTGTGAATATTTAATACTTGTTGACATTTTAAAAATCTGGCCATCAGTAATCCTGTTCCTTTCCATTTCCAGTGTGGATTTCAGAGCATATTTTAAAATTTACAGTGTTGATGTGTCACTGTTTTCTGGAGTTGTCGTTTCTGTTTTGATAGCCTTGTACTCAAGAATAAGGTCGTTTCTGTTTTGATAGCCTTGTACTCAAGAATAAGATTGTCTTCCTGGCATGTACTAGCAGACATTCCTTCCTGCTCATTCCTTCTCATTTTGTCATTTATTTGCTGCTGTATGTCGGTGTCTGTGGCTTAGGCACAGCTTCATAATGCTGATTTTTTAATGTCAGCCCTCCCAGTGTGGGTTCCGGGGCCCAGTTGTGGGAAAAATAAGGATAGACCCACTGCCTGCCCAAAGGCATGTCGTAAAAGTCAACTAATTGGGGGTTCTTCCTTTGAAGACGTAGCGCATCTGCCTGAGATGCAAGGAACCAACAGATTGCATGTAAATGAGTCAGACCTGTGCAACAGATATACACGCAACACTCAGGTTCTGGAACAGGACTAGAGTCCAGAAGTAGATGAACAAGCAGAACTTTCCGCCAAAGCTTACAGCCGGTGAACGTGAAGAAGAAGAAGAAATGTCAACATCTGTGTGAGGAAGTGAACTGGGCTCCCTGAAATAGTGTATATGAAATTGTCAACATTTCCAATCCGTCTAGCATAAAGAGCCTCTGGCTGCTGTTGCCTGCATCATTATGTTTGCTAGATATTGATTTGCCAATGTCGTGTGAGCAGAAATTGTGCAGGCAAACAGCTTTTATTGACTTCTCCTGCAGCTTGACATTTCAGTGCTGTTCAAACATGTGTGCCTAATGGCAGCTGATGTTAATGAGCCTATTAGGGAATGACATTTATGAATTAAATATGATGTGGGTATTGCTTGGTAGTTTAATGCCTTGTGCACACACTCACCTGGTTTAAACATTTGTTTTTGAACAGTGTAGATCTAGGGAGCCACCACAGTAGTGGCTAAACACTCGTCTGTGGATCTGAAAGTTGTGTGTTCAGATCTGAACAGAGCAGGACATTTGGCTAGACACTCGCCTGTGGATCTGAAAGTTGTGTGTTCAAATTTGAACGGAGCACGACATTTGGCTAAACACTCACCTGTGGATCTGAAAGTTGTGTGTTCAAATTTGAACGGAGCACAACATTTGGTTAAACACTCACCTGTGGATCTGAAAGTTGTGTGTTCAAATTTGAACGGAGCAGGACATTTGGCTAGATACTCGCCTGTGGATCTGAAAGTTGTGTGTTCAAATCTGAACGAAGCACGACATTTAAAAAAAAATGACTTTGCCTCCCAGTTCGGCCTAGCCTTAAATGTGTACCAGGTACGAAGTCATGGGAAGTAAAGGTGGCCGGTGTGATGTTGACCACATCACCCACCAAAATGCTGATTGGTCTGTGAAATATTATATATAGGTCTTGTCCTATATGCCCACAGTAGGCCTGAAGGCGTATTTATGGCACAAACCTGTTGCCATGCAGGTAGAAGGGAACAGTCAGTGGTTAGATAAAGACCCTTACGAAGATTTGTGTGTTGAAATTGGATGTTCCAAGCTTCCCTTGAGGGTTCCAGGGCATCCTTTTGAAGGGGAAAGACACCCAGCACCCCTAACAAGCATGTCATAAAAGGCATCTTTACCATTCTTTTTCTGTCTCTTCAAATTACATATGTTCTGCTGTAAGGTGCAGATATCACAGCCTAGCTAAAAACTGCAACACAGTATGCATGCCTATTAAGGATAAACACAAAGGAAGGCGGATATACCAGGCCCTGGGCTTTACTAATCAGTTCCATGTGACTCACTCAGTGATAATGTTCCCTTTTGTTTTCCAGTTGTGCTGTACGCCATCTTTGCCAGCTACTTCGCTGGGGTCATGGTGCGCCTGATGCTGACCTTGACACCCGTCGTCTGCGTCCTAGCGGCAATAGCTTTCTCCAAGACCTTTGAAGTGTACCTCAAGGATGATTCGCCCAAGCAGAACCAGAAGAGTGTGGATGAGAATTCTGAGAACAAGAATGATAGGCTTTATGATAAGGTGCAATATCTGTAAACATTTATTGTGCGCGTTTGCAAGTTTTCCCCTGGGTATTCTGGGGCCCAGTTTTTTTTTTGGAAAAAGAATAGACCAACTGTGCCTTTAGAAGAATGTTGTCAAGATGTGGCTAATTAAGGGTTGGTTGGAATTAATTATTTTTGCAGAAAGGTGCAGATATTGTAGCCTAGGACAAATGCCAGCTACTTACTGTTTTAAAGGTGAATACAGAAGGAATAGAACAAGATAACTAAGGCTGATTCAGAGGAGGGTGTCACTTATCACACAAGGGGACATATAGATAAGTGATTCAGAGGGGGGTGTCACTTATCACACAAGGGGACAGATAGGTGAGGCTGATTCAGAGGGGAGTGTCACTTATCACACAAGGGGACAGATAGGTGAGGCTGATTCAGAGGGGAGTGTCACTTATCACACAAGGGGACATATAGATAAGTGATTTAGAGGGGAGTGTCACTTATCACACAAGGGGACAGATAGGTGAGGCTGATTCAGAGGGGAGTGTCACTTATCACACAAGGGGACATATATATAAGTGATTTAGAGGGGAGTGTCACTTATCACACAAGGGGACAGTTGGATACAGAGGGGAGTGTCACTTATCACACAAGGAGACAGATAGGTGAAGCTGATTCAGAGGGGAGTGTCACTTATCACACAAGGGGGCACATAGGATTCAGAGGGGAGTGTCACTTATCACACAAGGGGACAGATAGGCGAGGCTGATTCAGAAGGGAGTGTCACTTATCACACAATGGGACAGATAGGATTCAGAGGGGGGTGTCACTTATCACACAAGGGGACAGATAGGTGTGGCTGATTCAGAGGGGGGTGTCATCACACACGGGGACAGATAGGATTCAGAGGGAAGTGTCACTTATCACTCATGGGGACAGATAGGTGAGGCTGATTCAGAGGGGAGTGTCATCACACAAGGGGACAGATAGGATTCAGAGGGGAGTATCACTTATCACTCAAGGGGATAGATAGGTGAGGCTGATTCAGAGGAAAGTGTCACTTAACACATAAGGGAATAGATAGGTGCGGCTGATTTACACAGAAGACAACCATTAGGCCAGACTGATTCTGAAGGGAGAGAGGATCTGATGACCCTCAGCACATAGAACTGATAAGCAAGACTTATTTACTGGGAAGTGAGCAGAGAATGTAATCGACACTCAGCACTTAGAACTGATAGACAAGACTTATTTACGGGGAAGTGAGCAGAGGATGTGGGTGACATTTAGCACATAGAACTGATAGGCAAGACTTATTTACGGGGAAGTGAGCAGAGGATGTGGGTGACACTTAGCACATAGAACTGATAGGTTAGACTTATTTACGGGGAAGTGAGCAGAGGAACTGGGTGACATTTAGGTAGAGAGGTAGGTATAAACCTTTCTAATGCCACAACCTTTTTATAGTTTCTCATGCCGTGGCGACACCCCCCCCCCCCCCCCTTTTTCAAAATTTCAGTGAATACGTGTTTTATGATGGTCTTAGGAGACCTCTGTGAAATGTTCGTTTGACCCCCAAAAGGGTCGTGACCCACAGGTTGGGAACCGCTGATTTTGAGCACATAAGGTTTCAGAAATCTGCAGCACTGTACCAGAGTCAGCTAAGTGTTTGGAGGTTTTACCCTAACTGCATTTTCTAGGCTGCTGTTTATGACTTAACAGTATGCCAAAGGCACACATAGGTCATACTTTGAATAGGCGAAAATGAAATGTTACTTTTCGTTCAGCAACACAATTTTACTTTGGCACTTTGCCAAAGTAAAATTTTCACCCGGGGATTCCCCCCCCCTCCCTTTCCGCCCCAAAAAAAGTTAAATATGTAATTACTTTATTCATTCCTGCTTTTATCATTCTCTGTTTGCAAGGCTGCTGAACTAAGTTTACTCAGGGGCCAACATTTTGGAAGTTGGATTGTTCATGGGCCAGAGACGCAAGCCACAGCAAAGAAAGATCATGATTACAATACAACTAGCAATGATCCGTGGGCCAGTTGTTAGGGCCTGCGGGCCAGATTTGGCCAGCGGGCTGAGCCCTGCTCTGTGGCTATCCTTGATGGTTGTCTGTTTGCTCTTTCTTCCAGGTTGGCAACAAGAAGAAGGTTCGAGATGACAAGCCCAAAGACGAGGAAGGCCTGGGCATCAATGTCAAGAGCATCATTGTTGTGGCACTCATCATGATGCTGATGCTGTTTGCGGTCCACTGCACCTGGGTGACCAGCAGTGCCTACTCTAGTCCCAGCATTGTGCTGGCCTCTTATGGACAAGGCGGGTAAGGGCCAGCAGATTTCATAATGCACTAGTAGAGATATAAAACCGAACGAAAGGTATATAAGCAAGCTTCACAATATAACAGATACAAACAAAACGTGAATGTTGCGGCTATGGAACCTTCATCAGCACATACAAATCAAACAATACCATACAAATACACAAAATCACTTAGCTGGTATCTCGCAGCAGCTGGGTCGATGATTTCTCAGCAGAATGCCTACACACGTGGGATAGGGGAATAAATACCCCCTGTGGAGTACCAGGGGCCATAACTAGGGCGTTTAACATAAAACTGTTAGGGCAGTTCAATCCCCTAGGAGTTTAAATGAAACTGTGTTGGCAATTCAGTCCATAGGGTGTTAAAGTACCCAAAGTGTAAATAAAGCGATTCTCAAGAGACTTGCAGTCGCTGGGGTGGCTAGATTTAATTAGTGTGAGTTCCGGGGCCACATAGGGGAGGGGTTTAACCCCTACCAAGCATGTTGCCAAACTGCCATTACTGTGTATTTTTACCACTTTTGCAGTGAAGGCAGGATGGTTTGAGCAATGGGGATTTAAGGCTGTATGGCTAAAGCTATCGCCACAGACTGCAGCTAGGGATTTTATTTTGGCACCTGACAGCAAAAGTCCACAACTTGGGTTTCTCCACATGAGAACCTAGCATTCTTAACTGCTCAGCCAACTATAACTAATTAGGGGTGGTTTCCTTTAAAGTCGAAGTGCTTCTGCCGGAGTGGCAAGGAAGCCACAGTCTGCATTCAAATAAGACAGATCTGTATAAGGATGTACATGCAAAACACAAGAATAAACTCCAGAAGTGGACGAACGTACGCCAAATCTAATTGTATTTATCAGTTGAAATGCACCTGTAATGCTGTAAATGCGGAAAGAACGGATTGACGACTGGAGAAGCGGGTTGCTGAACATATTCCACTATGGGTGGTAAAAACAATGCAAAACACCAACATCTCAACAAGAACGAATCAGGTGAGAAGTCGTAAAAACCCACCATCAGCAATTGCATGCCATCTTCTTAATTCTGGGCCCATGGTAAACAGGTACGATGCATTTCAAATTTTTTTACACTTCTGCCAATTGTAGATTACTGTGATACGCTGAAGCATCAGCGATCAGCCAGTTTAATCCAGAACTTTGCCAACAGAAAGAAATTCTCATCACTTTGCGGTTACCTTGTTGAAACAGACAATGTGTGAATGTAGTAGATTTTGTGTTCCGGTTTAAAGGTTTCATTTATTTGCGTCATTTTAATCATGCCAGGCAATAAATTGTGCAGTCTCTTGTTTATGTCTTCTTTTTTCAAACTCAGGACAGAGAAACATTGCTCTGATTTAATGAAAGAAGAGTTATTAATTTCTTTTTTTTTTTTTTTTACGAAATAACTTCCAGAAGCCGCACAATTCTGGATGATTTCCGAGAAGCATATTACTGGCTGAGACAGAACACGGACGACAAGGCCCGGGTGATGTCCTGGTGGGATTACGGGTATCAGATAGCAGGCATGGGGAATCGGACCACGCTCGTGGATAACAACACGTGGAATAACAGCCATATAGCTTTGGTGAGTAGGCTCAGTGTTTGTGTTCTTCTGTTTCTGATTCTCCTCCTTTTTTTTTTTCTTCTCCTGCAGCTTTTCTTTCTGCTTCAGATTCTATTCTTTCTGCTTCAGATTCTATTCTTTCTGCTTCAGATTCTTTTCTTTCTGCTTCAGATTATTTTCTTTCTGCTTCAGATTCTTTTCTTTCTGCTTCAGATTCTTTTCTTTCTGCTTCAGATTCTTTTCTTTCTGCTTCAGATTCTTTTCTTTCTGCTTCAGATTCTATTCTTTCTGCTTCAGATTCTATTCTTCTCCTTCAGATTCTTTTCTTTCTGCTTCATATTCTTTTCTTTTTGCTTCAGGCTATTTTCTTTCTGCTTCAGATTCATTTCTTTCTGCTTCAAATTCTTTTCTTTCTGCTTCAGATTCATTTCTTTTTGCTTCAGACTGTTTTCTTTCTCCTTCAGATTCTTTTCTTTCTGCTTCATATTCTTTTCTTTTTGCTTCAGACTGTTTTCTTTCTGCTTTAGATTCATTTCTTTCTGCTTCAAATTCTTTTCTTTCTGCTTCAGATTACTTTCTTTTTGCTTCAGACTGTTTTCTTTCTGCTTCAGATTATTTTCTTTTTGCTTCAGACTGTTTTCTTTCTGCTTCAGATTCTATTCTTTCTTATTCAGATTTCTTTTTTTTAATGCTTCAGATTATTTTCTTTCTGCTTCAGATTCTTTTCTTTTTACTTCAGATTCTATTCTTTCTGCTTCAGATTTCTTTTTTTAATGCTTCAGATTATTTTCTTTCTGCTTCAGATTCTTTTCTTCTTTTCTTATTTAGCTTCTGTTTCTTCTGCTTCAGCTTTTTTTCCTTCTGCTTCAGCTTTTGTTTTCTTTTTCTATCTCCTCCTTTTTTTTCCTGCTTGTCTTCACACACTGTTTAGTTTATGACTAGGGTGCGATATCTGCACTTTTTTATATCGAAATGTCCTTTAGATATTTTCTCTAGGTCATGCCGGTGTGTTGTGAAAGGAACAGACAAACAGATTTGTTTTTTTTTCTGCAACATATGATGGTAGATTTATGCATAAGCTAGATGGTGTAAGGGCTCTTTGGGAGTAGTAAACAGTGTGGAGGGGCAGAATGGTTTGGCCTGTCTTACATTCAACCCTTCTAAGCACTCATCTTTTGGATCACCATTGCATGTTATCAGTAATGCATGTTTATGTAAAAATATACATAATGAAATAATGTATACACACATCATGTATACACACTCCAACATGCACATGTACACATACTTGTACGTGCTCATACATATAGAGACACATACACACACATATTCATAATACTACATGTACACACACACACAGACTGAAAAAAAAATTCAAAAAAAAAAAGCTCCAAGAAATACTAAGCTAGATTTGGCAAAGCTTGAATCAAATCAAGAAATAAGTAAGAGATATGCCATCGTAGTAAATGAACTTACCTTTTGCTGTGTTGCAGGTGGGAAAAGCCATGTCGTCCAATGAAAGTGCAGCATATGACATCATGAGGACACTGGATGTCAACTATGTGTTGGTGATATTTGGCGGCGTCATTGGTTACTCTGGGGATGACATCAACAAGTTTCTGTGGATGGTCAGAATTGCCGAAGGGGAACATCCCAAAGATATTCGGGTAAGTAGAAGACATGACACATCAAACGCCAGGATGGATTGGAAAAAAATTATAGCAGAAGGCATGGTACCAGGAAGGAGGGGCAGGGGCGGACCGACATGAAGATGGGCACAGGATATAAATGACTCCTTGAGTATGAAAGTACATGAGATGGGAAAACTGGCGAGAGACCGAGCTTCTTTCAGGCAGACTGTGATGAGAGTGATGTTCTGCAAAGGACCTGCTAGATGATCATGATGAGAAGGCATGTGAGCAGTATTAGTACCATTAATCTAATTTTAAAAAAATCATTACCGCCTGTTTTAACCACTTTGCGGTGTAGGCCAATGAGAGGGGTCTTTGAGCCTGAGGGCCGTGTGGTTAGAGCTGTCACCACAGTTTGTGCAGGTTTTAGGGTGTTGTTTTTGCCCCTGGGCAGAAAATGTCTGTAACCATACCAGGAATGAACCTGGTTCTCTGCTTAAATGCCCAGTGTTCATATCTGCTCAGGCGAGCTGCTTCTCAGTATTGGGTGCAGAGAGATTGGTTAGTTAGTTGACAGATTATCATCATCACACATCAAACCATTCAGTCCATAAGTGCACAGATCCGCTTTTCATTATCTCCCTCAGCATGTAATGGCTAATGACACCTGCTCTGTGTTGGTTTACTATTCTTCTTTTGGCCCCTATTTAGTGCCCTTTTCTGGCTTAACCCTTTTTGATGTTATGTTCATGTAGTCTATCAGTGTTGCAGATTCACAATCATTACTTGATTCGTACAGTCGAGCTGCAGATCTGAGATCATTCAGTATGTCAGCCCTGTCCATTGCTCATTCATTTCCCACGTGAGCATCACTTGCAAGTCTGTCAGCTAGTTCATTGCCCTTTACACCAAAATGCTCCAGAACAAATATGATATATGTGATATAAAAACTAATGTTAGTCACCCTAGATCTATTCAGTTACTCCACCCATTGTTTTCATATGCAACCCTTCTGTTATCTTCTTGAGCATATTCATTGTCGCTGAGAAAGCATGCCTGGGTGAAAGTCTTGTGTTTCTAGTCAGGCTATTTCTTTAGTTGCTGACTTGACCTCCACAGTCAAACTGCTTGTCGTCAAGGGGAAGGCACCGCAGTCTTCTTTGACAGTTCTCCCTCCGACCTGAGCTGTAAATTCCCACGAGCTCCTGACATTTTGAATGACAGACCCGTCTGTCCTCAGAAGAATTCTCACATATCAAGGTCTGCACTTCTGCATCCACAACTACTGAGTTTTTGCATTCTCTGTTCAGCTTGATGCAAACTTCAAAGGATGTATGACTATTCCTACTCAACTATGTCCTCAAGTGGACAACCTCTTGTATAATATCTTCGGCCTGACCCATCCACAATTTTCCTCTCTTTAATCTGCTGCCTTTTCTTTTCCTGATTTCATTGTGCAGTGAATGTTGTGTGTCGGCACCGACTCGGATGTAGGCATGTGCTCAGCAGATCCTTATTCTATCTTCTGTTGTTGGAAAACCAAGGAGGTACCACATTGCTCTGCACGCTGTATCTTTGGTGCACTCAAGTATAATGCGCATGGCCTCGTTTTGTGTCTTTTCCAGTCTCTCTGACTGAGTTTGGCCCAGAGTAAGGACCGCCAGGGCATACTTGATCACTGGAAGGACTAGACCTTGGTATAAAAGACAGAGATGTCGCTGCCGCCATGATCCTCATAACTGCCAAACCCCTCCTGGCCTTCGCTACCACATGGTCTCTGTGCCCTGTAAAAGCCAGACTGCGATCAAAAAGAACTACAAGATATTTCATCGCAGAAGCTCTTTCCCCCTCTCTTTCAGCTCTCTTTCAGAGAGTATGTATGTTTGTAATGTATGTAAAAAAAATGCATAGAAACGAGATCTACCTCCTTGTCTTCCTAGCATTCACTGGCTGTAAATTGTTGGTTTCTTGTCTCTCGGGCAAATGCAGTCCAGTTTTGAAGCAACATCTCTACTTAGTCATCTTGTACAAAATGCTTGTTGATGGGCAGTGTCTGGCCCCAACCCCCCACCCCACCTGACTAAGATTTAACCCAACCAACACATCACACCAAGCGATAAACACCCGGTGACACAAATTGCCACCATTCATCCAGGGACAGGTCCCAGAAATCCCGTTTAACCTGTCGGGTTATAATTAGGGCCCCCGGCCATTGCCGGGGTGGGGCTTCAAGTAGAAAAATATTACGTCTGGCATGGGAAAGGAAAAGGAGTTTATACACCCCCCAGAAAAAAATAGAACCAACGTAGGGAATCTTAAGAGAAATTCTTTGTCTAAATTCAAGGACACAACTTTATTGCATAAAACAATGTTTCTCAAACTTTTCTTAGTCACAGTGCCTGTTTTCAATTACAGTTTTTCCACGGCACCCTAACCAAAGTAAAAATCTGACTATTTGTATATAAAAGGTAAAAAGAGAATAAAACTCGCATATAAGAGGTCAGGGCTCTCCTGGGCGCTATGATGCACAGTTTGGGAATCACTGCCATAAAATGTAAGCAATCTAGCATGTATTCGGCCTAATACTGCTCGATGCAGCTTTTGCAGCAGTAGCTATAAAACTGTTACCTTGTGTATTATTACATTATGCCAGCAGCTGTGACTTTGGACATATGTGAGGTCTGTTTGTATATTGATCTTAGCTCAGGCAGGAGCATCCTCCAGTGGCAACAGCTGGTCAGCTAATGCTGGCAAACTAATGGCTTTACACTTTGCACCAATGAGTTGTTAGGTGTACACAAGGAGAGGGTATCGTTATTGACATATTGCATGAAGCATTCAAGGGGAATGCAACTTCAATTTGTGTGCTAATGATTCAGTTTTTTTCCCCTTTCTCATTCTTCTACGTTTGCCTCTAAATTTCACATTGCTTTGTAGTTTACAGCTAGGCTGTGATATCTACACCTGTCAGCCCAACACAGACGGTTTTAGTGAGTCCTTAATTATTCGACCAGTTATGACACACCATATTTTCCCATATATAAGATAGAACTGTTTCCCCCAATTTGTTAAGTTTAAAATTGCGGGTCATCTTGTATACGCAATGTGTTTAAAATATTTTTTCCTAATTTTAGCCCCCCCCCCCCCCCCCCCCCCTCCCCAATAGTGGACACCTTTTACAGCGGCGTGCCATGTACATGAAAAAATACAGTGCTTGTTTAGGTGCACTAGGTCTGTCTCCTCCTCCCCCCACCCCATTTTTTTTTATAGGCTGTGAAACCCACACTAGGAACTCATTGGTTTTCATTGCAGGTGTTTTTATGATGTAGGTGTTGCTGTCTTGTCTCTTTCTCTGTGTGACTGTCTCTGTCTTGCTGTCTCTCAGCTCACTGTCCTTCTCATCCTTTTTCATCTGTCTGTAATCTCTTCATATTTAATTACTAAATACAAATACACACAAAAACATTAAACAAGGCGTTAGTGATGTGCTATCACCCGATTTATTCAATTTGTACAGTGAATATGTATATCCATACCATGGTAAGCCAGGAATAGGGGTTGGTGGGCGTATTGTTAACAGCCTGCGATATGCTGATAATATAGTGTTGATCGCTGAAAATGAAACACAACTTCAAGAAATGATGGACATAATTGAAACGGAAAGTGAAAACCAGGGTCTAAGTTCGAACAGCAGAAAAACAGAAGTAACGATAATTACAAAGAAAAGTTATCCTCCAAAATGCAACATGAAAGAAAATGGAACAAACCTCAAGCAAGTTGACAGGTTGAAGTACTTCAGTACCTTGATAACATCAGATAAAAGGTTAGTTGCGTATCCATTTTAGGATGTTTCAGAACCAACCTCAACAGTTCCTGGTTGTTGTGTGGTTTTTCTTAGCAAATTTACGTCCAGTAGTTTGCCAATGCTTTCTGGACGGTCGGCTTTCTTGATACCACTGTCGAAACCAACGCAAGGCACATGGCCCACAGCTAGGATCGAACGTGGCATCCCGGCATTACGAAGCGTTTGCATCGACTTAGCCACAGAGCCGACGATAACATCAGATGGAAGATGTAATAAGGAAGTTAATTGTCAAATAGCTCAAACAAAGGCAGCATTTTACAAAATGAAGAATATTTTATGCAATCTTTCTTTGTCAGTTGAGACGAGAAAGAAAATTCTTAAAAGCTATTTAAATCCTATATTGATATACAGATGTGAGTCATGGACAGTCAGTAAATTAGTGAAAACTTTTTTTGGAAGCTGCGGAGATGTGGTTTTATAGACGAATGATGAGAAAACCCTGAACAGATTAAAAGAGTAATGAAGATTTTTAAAAGAAACTGTCTCACCAAGAGAACTGATTGCTGACATCAGAAAGAGACAATCTACATTCTTTGATCGTGTGATGAGAATGAGAAAACTGGAGTACATCGTGACGATAGGAAAGTTGGAGGGGAAGAGAGGCAGAGGGAGAACTATAGAACAGCTGCTGAATGGTTTGGCATCATGGCATGGAAGATCATCTGTGTCGGGGTTAATTGAAAGTACATGAGGCAGAAGGTTGTGGATAGACATAACTACCAATGCCACATGGCATGGATTTTAGGAAGAAGAAATACAAATGATGGCAACAGTGGTCCTGAATTCCCATGCTATAATTGTGGAAGACTTTTCTTAATGCAGACGGGTCTTGCTAGTCACACTCACCATCACTATGGGCTGAGAGTCGAGAACTGACTCTTGTTGTCTTCTTCTGTTTCTCACTGCCACAGATCTTACCAGTGGTCACAACATGTTGCAGTTTCCTTCTTCTCATAGCATGAATTAAACTGTGATGACTGTCTCTTTCTGATGTTTGTAATAAGTTGTCTTTGAGCCCTCACTGCTTTCAAAACATCTGAGTTTCTCTTTTTGGCTGACAAAACTTGTAAACCAGGTAAAACATTTGCTTCAAATTATTACTTTGGCTCTATTTTGATTCATCATCATCATCCCATAACACTGCCTCTCCTTGGGTCACCAGTTTCTGTTGACTGTCTGATCAGCTCTTGCCACCTTTGGCGGTCATTTGCGATGGACTTCATGTTTGCATGCCTGAGGCCTAACCAGTCGGGTTCTGTAACCAGGTCTTTCTTGGTCTGCCTCTTCTCCTCTTTCCCTCTACTGAGCCCTGCAGTATTGTTTTTTAAGAGGCAGCTAGATCTTATCACATGTCCACACCATTGCATTTTTTGCCTTTTCCACTGTTGTTAAAGAGTTTCATAGTTGCCAGTGTGCTGTATAAATATATGGTGAACTTACTTCATTCATAATGTGGTCTCTGTGTAATATGCCAAGAATTGTCCATGTTTCACAGTGATGTGTAGAGGTACTAATAGCTAGTGCTCTGAGCAATCGAATCTTATTTTTGCATGAAATATTCTTGGATCTCCAAAATGTTTGCTGCTTGGCAAGGATTGATGTTGTCTGGGTTATCCTAGACATGATTTCTGGTTTTGATAGGAGGATATTTCCATGTCATACTAGCTCTTGTAGATATTAAGAAGATTAACAGTTTTTGGGAGAGGAGGCAGCCCTGATGGACTCCCACTATTGTTCAGAACCACCTCCCTATTTGTCCGCTCAATGTGACAGCACTACTGGCCTTGATATTGAGCTGTTCTATACTACATATTAGGGTTTTACCCATATTGTACTTTTTCACAGTGTCCCCTTTTTTCATTATCCCTTTTTTGATTACCCAAGAATTTTCTTCTATGTTTGCTATCCGAGAGCAGTTGTCACATTATGTTGTGGGTTACAGCTTTGCCGTGATAATCTGTGCCTTTCAGCCCAACTCATCTAATTTCAGGAAATCTAATTAGTGGCTTGTTACAAATTGCTTGTTAAGGAGCAGGCGCAGAGTAAGGTTGACAAGATTTGGTAAAATTGAAAGAGCGGAGTGTCGACTCACTCTTTGCTTATGACATTTTAAACTACTAATAGGATATAAAGAGAGCAGCCATGGTGTAGTGGCTAGCAGTTCACCTGCATTTGGAAGGTCATGGGTTGAGATCCTGTTGGAGCTGCCCTTCTTTTTTTTTCAAAATGACCTCGGCTTCCAGATTGACCCAGCCTCAAATAGTTACCAGGTACAGTTTTGGGAAGCAGAGTTGGCCACAGTGATGTTGATCATATCACCCATCAAATGCCGATTGGTCCATACAAATATATGTCTAGCCCTGTGTGCCCAGTATGCCTGAATGCACATAATCAGTATACTAAACTTACTTCTTCATCATGTGCCCTGCCAACAGGCGTAGGTGCTCTTGCGTCTCCACAGATTACGATGCCTGGTTGCCTCTGGAGAACTTACTTTATATAAACACAATTTTCTTTGGGGGGGGGGGGGGCAGGAGGAATCTTGGGAAAATGGAGTATCTGACAACCGAAAATTAGGGTCTATGCATTTTTTTTCAACCCTAAAATGGTGCCCTTGGATCCATATGGGAGGCTAAAATTTAGTGTGGTTACAATTGGATGGCTTCATCATATTGTTTGCTTGTATTTCATGTGTTTTGCAGTTGGAGCTTGCATCCCTCCCGCATGTCTATGTACCTTTCATGCTGTGATGTGAAGCAGGTGTTTGCTAATTAAACAGGGTAACTGTATTTGTTCCCTCAATGTCCTTTCAGGAAGTGGATTACTTCACTCCACAAGGAGAGTTCCGCGTAGATGCAGCCGGCTCGAAGACGCTACTAAACTGTTTGATGTACAAGCTGTCGTACTACAGGTTTGGCCAAATGCAGGTAAATCTCTAAGTGTTGTTTCTTCTTTTTCTTTTGAAGTCTCACTGATACCAGGTTGTAGTCTAGTGTCGTGGTTTTCTGCATTTGTCTTGCGCTTCTCGGGTGGCTTTGGTGATGGATTTGGTCATCTTTTTGCAGATTTCGGCTTCACCGTTTATCCATCTCTTTCTTGGTCTTCCTCTCGCCATCCTTCCAGATGTTCTGCTGTAAAAACTCTCATATGTGTGTGTTGTTAGTTTACTTGATGTGAAACCTACTCATTTCAGCTGCTGTGTTATGTAGGCATTCTACAAGGAAAAGGTAGTTTTATAGTAAAGTAAAGGAACCATTTTCATGTCTTCAGGTCTACTGGGCATCTAGGGCTAGACCGAACATTTTATAGTCGATACTTTATAAAGGAATTCTCTAATGACTGCTGAAGAAGCAGACAGAGCATGTTTGGGAATATCCTGTCTGCAGAGATGTTAAGTTTTGTTTTATTCATGCATTCATTCATAAGGTTGCTAGACAATTCCTTTGCAGTTCTGATTGTAATCTTTTACTTATCGTTTATCCTCCTGTGTAATGGCTAGACACTCACAGGCTGGCCCAAATGTCTGTGGTTTGAATCCGCATCAATGGCACAGGGATGAGGGAGAGTTAAGGTCGTTGAGGTCGTGTGTAAGTATGTACTCCGTGCTTCACCCAGCCGGCTCGGGTTGGTTTTGTGGATCCTCATCAAAGACTGTGATGATTCCTTGCATGAGCCCCGGGCCAGATGTCATGTGTCGGCAAGCCTCCTTGGATGGGGGCAGGGGAGGTGAGGGAAAGCCCTTGATGTGCTCCTGCCTTCCTTTGAGGACTGACCAGTCTTACCTGTGGTTTCCCTGGATGGGTTCTTTAGATCTTTTCTCTAGGCTACGCCAGTGTAGTGGGTAATGAACAGGTAGACAGAATGGCTAGATCTGCACCACTGGGTGGTGAATTGATACATGACAAGGCAGATGTGGTCTAGGCCCTGTGGAAACAAGCAATGGAATGAGTAGAGAAACAAGATTATTATGACCGGGAGAGAATGAGGCACCTGGGTGTAACCAGAAGGTCTGGCCTGCTCACTACACTCAGAGGAAAGGTAAGACGGACTTATAACCTGATTGTGACCGGTACCATCAGTATTGGAACTCTGCACTGGCTGCTGAAGATGAGGATGAAGCACACATGGGAATGCCCCAAGTGCTGTGATGTCAATTCTGGACTCAACTCAACAGGAAATAGTAAAGGATTGCATTGACTGTATCCTCAGGTTTGTGCATTAATCACCTTGCCATGACAACTCCACACAACATTGTGTATGCAGAAATATAGAGCGGAATAAGTTTTTTGTGTGTGTCATTTTATGGCTTTTATGGTTTTTACATTTTGTAATGCGATATTGCTACTGAACGGTCAGCTGTTATTGCTGTTGAAACCAAGGCGATCTTCTGCTAAATGCCTAAGCTAGATGTCGACTGAGTAGGACAGGCTGAAACTTCATTTTGTCAAATGAAAAATATTTTATGCAAAAAAAAATCTGTGACAGATGGCAAATTAATCTAATAGTGTATTTGAAATTATATTAAATGTGTAAACAAATACGTATAAAGATATTGTCTTTACCTGGGGGGGGGGGGGGGGGCACATCCCCTTTTAAGAATTGTTGGAAAGGGGGGGCGGCGGCTAAAGGTGCCTGAGTTGCCAGGTTCAGAGCTGTTGGCATTGCAGGAAATGTAGAAACTCTTATTTAAAAGTCCTGTTTCACCTATAACCACAGGTGTGTTTCTTTTCTTTTTACAGCTGGACTTCCGAAGCCCACCTGGGTTTGATCGCACCCGGGGTGTGGAGATCGGCAACAAAAACTTTGAACTGACCCACTTAGAGGAAGCCTACACTACAGGTATTTGGGTTTAAATGTTGATCTTCTCAGGGGATGATTTGGCTGGGGTGAACACAGATCTTCATTGAAGCATACTTTCTTTGTGACTCGATGAGTATGCTTAAGAGGATAGAGATGGGCTGGGTCTGAAGTCTGTAAGGTAGTTACAGCTGAAAAACATCAGTTTAATTTTCCTGCCAGGGTATGCAGGTGTAAAAGGAAATGAACAAGCTAATTGGCTTTCAGGTAAGGCTAATAATGGAGATTCGATGAGCAGTGGACGAGGCTAAGATGTTAAATGTTCATCTAGATGTGAGAAGTTTGCAGGGAATCAAATAATGACTGAATTTGCAACTAGGATCCGACTGCAAAAACAGCAAGTTAATGGGGTGATAGCAAACAAAAGCACTATGCAGGAAGCTAAAAAAATTTTTATAAATCAACACAGAGCTGGTGCCATTAGCCCCTGCTTGCTGCAGGATTTGCTGAGCAGGGGATCTGAGCACTTATGGGCTGAGTTGTTCCGATAATTAACTTATTTTTGTAGTTTTTATTAAGTGGGATGGCAGTCATGTCATTTTTGTTTACAACTTGTTTCTCAGTCATGCTAGAAATGGAGGAACATGCAAAACTCAAGTTCTAGAACAGGACTAAAGTCCAAACCGAATAGAGTCTCTGGAGATATACAGAAGAATAGGTCATATTAAATGGGGGGGGGGGGGGGGGGGGAACCAGTCCAATACAGAGGGTTACAAATAAAAATAGAATTACTGAAAGAGCTAAAAAAGAGACAATTGAAATACTTTGGCCACATTACAAGACATAAATAATATGCTTTTAAAAACCATACTGGAGTGAAAAGTCAAAGGCGAGAGAGCAGGAGATTGGCAGTGATGTAAGTGGAGGACAACATCAAAAGGATGGGCAGCAGTCTGAGGTAGGGAATAAACAACCAGGGACAAGAGAGAGAGCGTGTTGGAGATTCATTGCAGGCAACCTTCACTGTGGAGACGGCACCTGATTGATGATGATGAAAGTCCAAAAGTGGATGAACAACCAGATTTTTTCAACAGCCAGTGAATGTTGAGAAAAAGATGTTAAAAATCTTTTACTTTTTTAAGCTTCTTATCCTCTGGGCACATTTTCATTGATTGTTCTCCTTCACAGAACACTGGCTAGTGAGGGTATACCGAGTGTTAGATTTGGAGAACAGGTCAGAGGTGAAAACTCCACACAGGCCAGTCAAGAAATCAAAACGGAAGCCAAAAAAGGTATAGTTTGGGTGTGTGGCTAGACATATAGTTTGGGTGTGTGGCTAGGCATATAGTTTGGGTGTGTGGCTAGGCATATAGTTTGGGTGTGTGGCTAGGCAGTGTCAGATATCCTTGTGTGTTGCTAGCTTCTCAGTGTCAGATATCCTTGTGTGTAGCTTTTCAGTATCAGATATCCTTGTGTGTGGCTAGGCAGTGTCAGATATCCTTGTGTGTTGCTAGGCAGTATCAGATATCCTTGTGTGTGGCTAGGCAATGTCAGATATCCTTGTGTGTTGCTGGCTTCTCAGTGTCAGATATCCTTGTGTGTAGCTTTTCAGTATCAGATATCCTTGTGTGTGGCTAGGCAGTATCAGATATCCTTGTGTGTGGCTAGACAGTGTCAGATATCCTTGTGTCTGTGGCTAGACAGTATCAGATATCCTTGTGTCTGTGGCTAGACAGTATCAGATGTCCTTGTGTGTAGCTAGGCAGTATCAGATATCCTTGTGTGTAGTTAGACAGTGTCAGATATCCTTGTATGTAGCAATGCTGTGTCAGATATCCTTATGTGTGGGTAGGTAGTGTCAGATAACCTTTGTGGGTAGACAGTGTCAGATATTCTTGTGTGTGGGTAGGCAGTGTCAGATAACCTTTGTGGGTAGACAGTGTCAGATATCCTTATGTGTGGGTAGGCAGTGTCAGATAACCTTTGTGGGTAGGCAGTGTCAGACATCCTTGTTTGTGGCTAGGCAGTGTCAGATATCCTTGTTTGTGGCTAGGCAGTGTCAGATATCCTTGTGTGTGGCTAGGCAGTGTCAGATATCCTTGTGTGTGGGTCTAGGCAGTGTCAGATATCCTTATGTGTGTGGCTAGGCAGTGTCAGATATCCTTGTGTGTGGGTAGGCAGTGTCAGACATCCTTGTTTGTGGCTAGGCAGTGTCAGATATCCTTGTGTGTGGGTCTAGGCAGTGTCAGATATCCTTGTGTGTGTGGCTAGGCATGTCAGATATCCTTGTGTGTGGTTAGGCAGTGTCAGATATCCTTGTGTGTGGTTAGGTAGTGTCAGATATCCTTGTTTGTAGCTCGGCAGTGTCAGATATCCTTTTGTGTAGCTATGCTGTGTCAGATATCCTTATGTGTACGTAGGCAGTGTCAGATAACCTTTGTGGGTAGGCAGTGTCAGATATCCTTGTTTGTAGCTCGGCAGTGTCAGATATCCTTTTGTGTAGCAATGCTGTGTCAGATATCCTTATGTGTACGTAGGCAGTGTCAGATAACCTTTGTGGGTAGGCAGTGTCAGATATCCTTGTGTGTGTGTGGGTCTAGGCAGTGGCAGTGTCAGATTTGGGTGTGTGGCTAGGCACATAGTTTGGGTGTGTGGCTAGGCACATAGTTTGGGTGTGTGGCTAGGCAGTGTCAGATATCCTTGTGTGTGTGGCTAGGCAGTGTCAGATATCCTTGTGTGTGTGGCTAGGCAGTGTCAGATATCCTTGTTTGTGGCTAGGCAGTGTCAGATATCCTTGTGTGTGGCTAGGCAGTGTCAGATATCCTTGTGTGTGTGGCTAGGCATTGTCAGATATCCTTGTGTGTGGCTAGGCAGTGTCTGATTTCCTTGTGTGTGGCTAGGCAGTGTCAGATATCCTTGTATGTGACTAGGCAGTGTCAGATTTCCTTGTGTGTGGCTAGGCAGTGTCAGATATCCTTGTGTTTGGCTAGGCAGTGTCAGATATCCTTGTGCGTGGCTAGGCAGTGTCAGATATCCTTGTTTGTGGCTAGGCAGTGTCAGATATCCCTGTGTGTGTGTGTGGGGATCTAGGCAGTGTCAGATATCCTTGTGTGTGTGTGTGGCTAGGCAGTGTCAGATATCCTTGTGTGTGTGTGTGTGTGGCTAGGCAGTGTCAGATATTCTTGTGTGTGTGTTTGTGGCTAGGCACTGTCAGATATCCGTGTGTGTGTGTGTGTGTGTGTGTGTGTGTGGCTAGGCAGTGTCAGATATCCGTGTGTGTGTGTGTGTGTGGCTAGGCAGTGTCAGATATCCTTGTTTGTGGCTAGGCAGTGTCAGATATCCTTGTTTGTGGCTAGGCAGTGTCAGATATCCTTGTTTGTGGCTAGGCAGTGTCAGATATCCTTGTGTGTTGTTGGCTAGGCAGTGTCAGATATCCTTGTGTATGGCTAGGCAGTGTCAGATATCCTTGTGTGTGTGGCTAGGCAGTGTCAGATATCCTTGTGTGTGGCTAGGCAGTGTCAGATATCCTTGTGTTTGGCTAAGCAGTGTCAGATATCCTTGTGTGTGGCTAGGCAGTGTCAGATATCCTTGTGTGTGTGTGGTTAGGCAGTGTCAGATATCCTTGTGTTTGGCTAAGCAGTGTCAGATATCCTTGTGTGTGGCTAGGCAGTGTCAGATATCCTTGTGTGTGTGTGGTTAGGCAGTGTCAGATATCCTTGTGTGTGTGTGGTTAGGCAGTGTCAGATATCCTTGTGTGTGTGTGGCTAGGCAGTGTCAGATATCCTTGTGTGTGTGTGGTTAGGCAGTGTCAGATATCCTTGTGTGTGTGTGGTTAGGCAGTGTCAGATATCCTTGTGTGTGTGTGGCTAGGCAGTGTCAGATATCCTTGTGTGTGTGTGGCTAGGCAGTGTCAGATATCCTTGTGTGTGTGGCTAGGCAGTGTCAGATATCCTTGTGTGTGATTAGGCAGTGTCAGATATCCTAGTGTATGAAGCAATACTATGGGGTGAAGGTTTTACTGAAGTATGTGGTCTCCATTGCAGAAGGGTGAAACCATTTGCGTCCTGCTCTGGTCACCTGTGTTATTCATTTCATAAGAGCAGTTCTTTTGAGATACCTGGTTGGGTGGTTGCTGGAGTTACAGAGTTTATGCTTCATTCGACACTCAGCGGGCAACTAGCTATAGTGTGGAGAGGGGCTGAACCATATGTGTTAAAGAATGCTTTAAATTCTTTGAACAGCCAAAATGAGTAACCCAGATGTTTTGAAAAAGCGGAGATGCTGAAAACTACTTATCACAGGCATCAGAAAGTGACTTTTGGCTTTGTCATGTGAAGAGGGAAACTGGAACATGTGACCACTGTAAAGATTTATGGAAAGAGATAATGTGAGAAGATTCTTGAGAGCCTCAGAAACTAAAATACTTTAGCCATTTCTTGGGTGAAGAATAGTCATGGAGGGCATGATATGGGGTAAAAGGGGCAGGGGTCGAGCACAGGTCATAAGAGACACCTTGGGCAAGAAAGTGCTTGAGGCGGGAGAGCTCGTAAAGGGCCAGGTTCTTCTGTCAGACAAGCTGTGTTGGGATTGTCATTCTGTGGACCTGCTACATGATGATGATGACCTCTGTGACTACCGGTTAATACTTGTGAATCGATTTCTCGTCCTATTTTTTCCCTGAATACTTCTATTATGAGACCCATCCTCCATGTGTGAGTTTTGGGATCCCGTTGTGGGGGAGAACAAGAATAGATCCACTGCCAATGAGACCCATCCTCCATGTGTGAGTTATGGGACCCCGTTGTGGGGGAGAACAAGAATAGATCCACTGCCAGTGAGACCCATCCTCCAGGTGTGAGTTATGGCACCGCGTTGTGGGGGAGAACAAGAATAGATCCACTGCCAATGAGACCCATCCTCCATGTGTGAGTTATGGGACCCAGTTGTGGGGGAAAACAAGAATAGATGTACTGCCAGTGAGACCCATCCTCCATGTGTGAGTTATGGCACCGCGTTGTAGGGGAGAACAAGAATAGATCCACTGCCAATGAGACCTATCCTCCACATGTGAGTTGTGGGACCCCGTTGTGGGGGAGAACAAGAATAGATCCACTGCCACCCTAACAGGCATGTCGTAAAAGTCTGCTAAATAGGGGTGTTTCCTTCCAAGTTGAAGTGCATCTGCCTGAGAGGTGGGGAATCAACAGTCTGCATACAAATAAGCCAGATATGAAAAACAGATGTGCATGCAAAACTCAAGCTCTGGAAGGAGACCAAAGTCCAGAAGTGGACAAGCAACCAGAACTTTCCCGCCAGAGTTTACAGTCGGTAAATTGAAGATGAATGAACGAACAGACTTAATTTTCAAAGGGTCACAAATTAGGCATGCAGGCCCGTCTTACATTCGGCCCTTCCAGACACCCATCTTTCACACAGCAGTTGTATTTTCTCAATAAAATGCATATTATGAATATCAAGTTAAAAATAAAAGCATGGAAGATGAAGAAGACTAGTTCTGTCCTTGTCTGAATCTCTGTCAGACTGATATATGAACAGTTGGTGTTTATGTTGGCAGGTAGAGGTGTGAACTACAGGTGGTTCACCAGCACAAGGGCTCATGCTGGCCTCAAAGTGTATCTACACCTCTCATCAGTCATCCCTGAAGCAGATTCCTAGTTTGAGGTCTGGCCAATTTAGATAGGGTCTGGCCAATGTATATAGGGTCTGGCCAATATAGATAGGGTCTAGCCAATGTAGATGGGTTTTGGCCAATGTAGATAGGAGCTGGCCAATGTAGATGGGTTCTGGCCAATGTAGATGGGTTCTGGCCAATGTAGATAGGGGCTGGCCAATGTAGATAGGAGCGGGCTAATGTAGATAGAAGCTGGCCATTATAGATAGGGTTTAGCCAATGTAGATGGGTTCTGGTCAATGTAGATAGGAGCTGGCCAATGTAGATAGGAGCTGACCAATATAGATAGGGTCTAGCTAACTTAGATGGGTTATGGCCAATGTAGATAGGGGCTGGCCAATGTAGATAGGAGCTGGCCAATATAGATGGGGTCTAGCCAATGTAGATGGGTTCTGGCCAATGTAGATGGGTTCTGGCCAATGTAGATAGGGGCTGGCCAATGTAGATGCCAGATATGTTTTGTGATTTTATGTCATAATTAGACCCGTACCTGTAAGAATGTATAGATATTTGTTGGGTAAATAAAACTATTTTTTGGTCTTTATAGCTTGTAAAGACGGGCAGATATCAGGTAGCAGATGTCAGCGTCATTAAACATGT